GTGCCCGCGGCGAAGCCGCCGCGGTGCCCGCGGAGCACGGCTCGGTTGCCAACGTGGCAGCCCCTCGATCGAAGAAGACACCTCCGGCCACGCGCGGAGGGTGGTATGGGGTACACCTTAGGCGATGCTTAAGAAAACTTAAGTTTTCGGCCAGAGTCTCGATGATACTTGATGTTTCAATGCAAATCCCAACATTTGAATAGCCATTCTGGGTTTGATGTAAAATTCTGAGACTATGAATTTCTTAACCCATGATTTCTAAAGCACTTCGCAGGGTGTAGGGGGGGAGGCCTCTCAGAAGGAGGCTGTTTCTTAGAAGGCGCCGGCCTTGCGACCGCAGACAAGGCCCGCGCTTGCTGAGGAGCAGCCTCCTTCCAAGACGCCTTCCCCCCTCCCCCCAAGTATCCCCCCCCTGCGCGGCGCCGACGTGCCAACCCATCGATCGAAGAAGGCAAACAGCCTCTAGCATGATGAGACACTGTTTGAGCTCCGCGCGGGTTCGGGGATCTGCGCTGTTCACCTGGCGAGCTCTGCGCGCCAGGAAGGGGGTTCAGCGCAGATACAAGAAAGGAGGAAGAGGAGGAGGAGGAGGAGGGGGAGGAGGAGGAGGGGGAGGAGGAGGGAGGAGGAGGGGGAGGAGGAGGAGGAGGAGGAGGGAGGAGGAGGAGGAGGAGGGCGGGCGGACCTCCAAACGTTGCTGTTTATCGCATGGCGGCCCATCCCGCAACCGTGCCTGAGCTGTGGGTGTGAAGCCCATTGGATGTTCGTTGGGTTCTCGTGGGGGACCCCTCGCTGGCCTTCTGACGGCAATTCGGAGGCCTCCTCCTCCTCCTCCTCCTCCTCCTCCTCCTCCTCCTCCTCCTCCTCCTCCTCTCTGGGCATCTCTTTGGAGTCCTCTTGGGGGCCTCTCCTCTTGGGGTCCTCCTCTCGGAGGCCTCCTCGTGGGGCCTCCTGGGTGTTCTCTTCAAGGCTCGGATTTGGTCGGTTCGTGCTCCCTCCCTTGGGGCCCCGTTCGGGGCCGTCTTGGGGGGCCCTCCTGGGCTGTCTTGGGCGCCTCTTGGACCGTCCTGGAGCGCTCTCGGGCCGTCTTGGGGCCCTCTGGGAGGCCTCTTGGGCCGTCTGGGGGTGGTCTTGGCCGTCTCGGAGGCCGCTTGGGGCCTTCTTGGCCCGTCTTGGGGCCCTCTTGGGCCCGAAAAAATTCACGCGCCACCACTTCCCAAAGCCCAGGGGGCACGCGGGAAGCTTCAGGGGGCGCGCGGGAAGCCCCAAGAGATTTCGGAATTTGGGGCCATGGCCCCTTGAAGGCTAGAGGATTTGGCGTAGGACCTGGTGGCACGCCCACTCCGTGCCCAGCGGCACGGTGGCGGATACTGTAAGACAAAACAAGTTGTTGTAATTCCAACATGTTTGGGAACATTTGATAAGTTACATGAAGCCGTTGGCCGAAAAACGCTACCGCTCAGCACGTCACCTCTAGACGTGGATTCCTCTCGCTTCGCGGGGTGCACGTCTAGAGCACGTGCAATCCAGTCTTTGTGGGGCCTCCTGGGAACCTCTTGGGAGCCTCTTGGAGGCCTCTTGGGGGCCCTGGGGGCCTCTTAGGGGCCTCTTTTTTTCTTGGAGTCTCTTGGGGGCCTCTTGGGCAGTCTTGGGGCGCACTTGCACCGTCTGGCATCTCTGGAAGCCGTTTTGGAGGCCTCTCTGGGCCGCCTCGGGTGTTCTCTTGGGGTTCTCTTGGGTAGTCTTGGGGGCCTCTTGGACCGTCTTCGGGCCTCTTTGGGCCATCTAGGATTCTTTCGGGGGGTGGCCTGTGGGGCAGTCTTGGGGCCATCTTGGATGCTGATTTGGCCGTCATGGGCCCCCGAGAGTCGGAAAAGGCGAGAACGCTAAAATCTGTCACAAACTAAAGCGAACAGCAACGTTCGTGGCCTCTGGTTGTGCTTTTGAGGGCCCCCTTGGGGCCCTCTGGGGCACGCTTGGGGGCCTTTTGGGCCCTCTTGGGGCAATATTGGGCTGTCTTGGGGCCGTCGTGGCCCGTCTCGAGAAAGTCTTGAGCCGTCTTGAGGCCCTCGTTGACCCCCAAGAGGCTCAAGGGCCCCCATCATTGATTTCCATCGGTATGTGTAGGTTTCTGGACCTCTCCACGTTTGGGTCGACGGAAGTGGCGTGACCTCGGGGGGGTGTGGGGGGAGGCAGAATGATGTAACGCAATTTAATCATCATATGTAGCTGTAGCCCTTATGTAAGATACCCGCGGAAAAAAAAAACACTGCTGCTGAGCACGTGGATGCACGTCCAGTGCACGTGCAAGTTGGTCGTTACGGGGCCTGGTGGGGGCCTCTTGGAGGCCCCTTGGGGGCCTCTTGGGGTTTCTTGGGGGCTGCTTTGGGGCCTCTTGGGGCCGTTTTGGGCCGTCTTGAGGCGCTCTTGCGCGGTTTGGCCCCTCGGGAGGCCGTCCTGTGGGCCTCTCGCGGCCGCCTTGGGGCTCTCTGGGGGTCCCCTTGGGCCGCCCTGGGGGCCTCGAAGACCGTCTTGGGGCCCTCTTGGGGGCTTCTTGGGTCGTGTTGGGGCCCTCTTGCGGGCTTCGTGGGTCATGTTGGGGCCATCTTGGATGCTGCTTGGGCCGTCGTGGGCCCCCGAGAGTCGGAAAAGACGAGAACGCCAAACAACAACCAGCGGGAAGCCAATGATCTTGGCCCGTGGAGGCGCTCTTGTGGGTCCTCTTGGGGCTGCCTTGGGCCTTCTTGGGGGCCTTGGGGGCGTAGCCTGTCTCGGGTCGCTGGGGAGGGCGTCTGAACGAACTGTCTCTTGGAGCGTCGGGAAGCAGGAGGGGCCAGAACTCCAAAATCCTTCAAAAACTAATGGAATATCATTGCGTGCACCAGTGCTTGGGACAGTTTGCAGGCCTCGCGGGCGGTATGGAAACCGTCAAGGCGCAATGGACAGAGCGTTCGGCGATTCGGGGCCCTCTTGGAAGATCTAGAAGATCTCTTGGGTGTAATTTTGGCGCTTGCTGGGTTTTGCTTGGGTTCTGGACCCCCCCGGGGGGGCGTCGTATCTGACCCCCCCCCGGGACCCCCCCCTTTTCCCGGCAGGGGAGGGATCAAAGGAAAGAGGCTTCCCTTCGACTCAGATGCGACGTTGCTCAATTTCGTTTTGGCTGTAGCGTGTTTCTTTATTGCTTGGGGCATCATGGGCATTACACCCCCTGGCCCCCCCTCCCCCCCTATAACGTAACGCCCCTCCCCCCCAAGTGCGTTCTGGGCACTGCCGCCGTGCGAACGGCATGGGGGGTGGCGTTACATTCTCCCCCCCCCCCCCCTGGCCCCTCCCCCACCCCTATACTGCCCATTATCGCCGAAAATAATGAAACGCGCTCTTGGCGCGCTGGAGCGCGCAGGAGGAGGAGGGCCGAGGGAAAGGGAGGAAACGGCGACGGGCCCACGGAAGCGGATACGAATCGAACGGACAAGCCCCTTCGCACACGCCGGCAGAGTCGGCGGATTCTCGGGGCACCAACGCCCCAACGCCACGGATCAGCCTCATTGTTGCGTCTTGACGGTCCTGAATCGCGTCAGAACGCAATTCTTGGGACTTCAGCTCCGCGAGCCAAAGTAATTGTTGCACCCTCATAATCCAGCATCTTTCCAACCAGCCATTTGTGGTACGTTGTTCATGTGAACCCGTGAAGTTCTCCGAAGGGTGCAAGAGGAATGTGCGCGGCGCTGAGGCTAGAGCCACATGTTGAAAAGGACCCTCAATCCGTGAAGTTGTTGCAGACGTTTAGAAAGAATGCGCGCGGCGCTTAGGCGAGAGCCACATTTTGAGAACCACCCGCCCTCCATCCGCGAAGCTGCTGCAAAGATTTGAAACGAATATGCGCGGCGCTGAGACGAGAGCCACATTTTAAGAACATGCCGCCTTCAATCCGTGACACTCTTGCAAATGTTTTCAAACGAATGCGCGCGGCGCTAAGGCGAGAGCCACATTTTGAGTACGACCCGCTTTCAATCCGTGACGCTCGTGCAACTCTTTTAAAACAAATGTGCGCGGCGCTGAAGCGAGAGCCACATTTTGGAAACGACCCGCCCTCCATCCGTGAAACTGTTGCCAATGTTAAAGCTTTAGGGTCATACGTGGTGAGGAAGTCTAAGGCAAAACGCCCGGCCCGCCCTTCGACCAGCCTCGGGGTGCGATGGAAACATCAGTAAGAAGGAGCAGGAATGGAGGAGGAGGAGGAGGAGGAGGAGGAGGAGGGGGAGGAGGAGGAGGAGGAGCAAGAGGGGGGGGGGAGGGAGGGGGGGGGAGGGGAGGGAGAAGAGGGACGGAGAAAGAAAAGGAAGGAGAAAGAGGGATGTGGAGGAGCAGGATGACGGGAGGACGAGGGACATATGGCGAGGGGAGGAGGTGGTGGAGGAGGAGAACGAGGAGGAGGAGGAGAGGAGGAGGAGGAGGAGGACGAGGAAAACAAAGAGGACGATGAGGAGAGGAGGAGGAGGAGGAGGAGGACGAGAGGAGAGGAGAGGAGGAGGAGGAGGGGCTGTGGAGGAGGAGGAAGGAGGAGAGGGACGCGGAAGAGAAAGGAGGAGAGGGATGTGGAGGAGGAGGAGGAGGAGGAGGAGGAGGAGGAGGAGGAGGAGGAGGAGGAGCAGGAGGGGAAGGATGAAATGGAGGGCAGACGCAGGAGGAGGAGCAGCAGGAGGAAGAGGAGGAGGAGAAGGAGGAGAAGAAATGTGGAGGAGACAAGACGTGGAGGAGGGGGAGGAAAAATGGAGGATGGACGACGCAGGGGTAGGGGAGGAGCGTGTTGCCGCATCGGCGATGGTCCTAGCCGCATTCTAGGGCAGACGTGGAGTGCACGTGGCCGAATTGGGCACGGAGGGCGGCAGGGGGGGAGAGCGCGCGGAAAAAAGGGAAGGAGCACGCTCCTGACATGGAGCAGGAGAGGAGCAGGGAGAGGACAACGCAGGAGGAGCGAAGGAGGAAGAACCCCCGCTGAGGCAAGCCGGCAACGTGGGGCGCAATCTGGAGAGGCTTATGTTCGAGGACGACGACAGCAGGCCTTCCCACCAGGTCTCGCAGAGCAAGGCGAGCTTGCGGGAGGGAGGCATCGGGAAGGGAGTACTCGGCCGTCGTTATCGGGGACTTGACATCCAGGCGGTGCATAGATTCAGTCGAGGCATTATCGCGCGACATGGAGATCCAGGACCTTCGCGGATCGAATCGGCACAATGCATGCAGGAAAACGGTGGGGTCCATGGCCCCAGCTGCGATATGGTAAGATTTGCACATGTTCGCGACGCCGGATATCTGGGAGTCATGCAACGATTTGAAGGGCAGGAGCACCTTCAGGGCAGGTCGATGTCATAGCGATTGGCACTTACACCTCGCTGTTTTGCTTCGCTTGGCATCACGACGCTATTGCAGCCTGAACGCGTGTGTGGCGAGCTTGGGCCGTCAGGGGTGTGAGGCTGCTCTGCAGTTGCCGAGCATTTTCTCTGGGTGGAGGGCCAAGGGTGAAATCTGAAATGCCGTTTCGATTGGTTCTCGAGGCTTGAGTCTGCAAACGGTGAATCACAAGACGGATTGATGTTCGAGGTGCAAGAGCCCATATGGATTTCACCCTGAGCCCTCCACCCTGAGAAAATGCTCACAGTTGACGGCTCTGCCCTCACGGCCGGCGCTGCTTTCCGACTCGCTGCTGCCCCTCCTTCTCTCTCCCTTCTCTGGTCGGCAGGCAGGCTGGGCCCCGCGTCGCTGGTTGGACTCGCCCTCCGTTCGCTCTTCTCTGGCTGGCCTCGGGCTCCTCCTCCTCCTCCTCCTCCTCCTCCTCCCCTCCTCCTCCTCCTCCTCCTCCTCCTCCTCCTCCTCTCCTCCTCCTGGCTGGTTGCACGTGAACGTCGCGGAGCGGAGCGGCACGCCCCCCCCCCCGCCCTCCCGCCCCCGAGGAGCGGAGAGGGACACGCGGCCCGCTCGGACGGCACAATTCGCGTGCCGCTGGGGCCGCCGCCCCCCCCCCCAATGCTAATGCCATCGGGCCCCCCCCCCCGCGCGATGCCCCCCCCCCCCCCTGTGGGCGTGGGCGTGGCGTGGTGGCTCCCCCCCCCCTGTGGATGTGGTGTGGGTGTGGTGTGTTGCTGTGGGTGTGTGCGGGGTGACGCCATGGTCCTCCTCCCCCCCTCCCTCCCCCCCTGTGGGTGCGGTGTGGGTGCGGCGTGTGGCTGGGATTGGCATCATGTTGACAGCTCCGGTGCTCGACGTCGTCGCCGCCGCCGCCGGTTGTGCGTCGTCGTCGTCGTTGTCGTCGTCGTCGTCGTCGTCGTCGTCGTCGTCGTCGTCGTCGTCGTCATCGTCGTCGTCGTCGTCGTCGTCGTCGTCGTCGTCGTCGTCGTCGTCGTCGTCGTCATTGTCCTCCTCCTCCTCCTCCTCCTCCTCCTCCTCCTCCTCCTCCTCCTCCACCTCCACCTCCACCTCCTCCTCCCCCCCATCCCATCTGGGGGGGGGGGCCCGAGGACCCTGGGACCCATCCCATCTAGGGGGGGGGGCCCGAGGACCTGGAACCCGCGATCATATATGTACTCTTCAAAACCCGCAGGGAACGGCCTACATCCCCATCTAGGGGGGGATAAATCGGCCAGTGGGGCCCAGGGCACGCTGCTGGGAATAGGGACCGGATGAACGATGCTCACCACCCCCGTGCACCGCCGAGCGAGACGCACGGCAGGCCTCGGCCGCGTGGGAGCCGCGATTTTGCGCCCAATTACCGGCGGGGTTGCTCGCCGAGTTGCCATAGACCCCCCCGGCCGGCGGAGGACGCTTGCGGAGGCCTGCGGTCAAAGCTGGCGGCAGGCGGCCGCATTCAGCGCGAGGCATCGACGGTTTGAAATTTAGGGGGCCACATGCGAACCCTACTCCTACCCCCCACGATTTCTGACGGGGAGGGTGGGGTTCACTTCGTTCGGTGTTGGGCAGGGGGGTAGAGGGATAGGGTTCGCATGTGGCCCCCTAAACTTGTGGGCGCCTCGCGTTGGCTCCAGACGCCCTGGGTCCAAACCCAGGGCTCCAGCCAAGTGGCGTTTTGGCGGCTTCGGCGGCCGCTATGGTTCTGATGCAGTTTGGCGGCAAAAGGGCGGAGCGGAGGCAGAACGAGGCAGAGCGAGCACAGAACGAATATTTGGCAACCGCTGTGTTTAGCTCGCGCCCTGCCCAGCACTTCGGATAGCCTCCAAACATCGCGCAGCGATTTTTTCGGTACAGAATTATTCCAGAAGGCCCTTGTGGGCCTCTCGTCTTCCAGGCCTTTTGGCTTCCAGGCTTCTCGTAGCCTGGGCGCTTTCGTAGCGCGGCGGAGTGCAGGGTACGTATGCGCCTGCGTGCCTCGCGGCCGTGCGCTGCGGTGCAGCAGGCGGCAGGCGGTCCCTCCTTCCTTCCCTCTGCTGGATGGTTGGTTGACTGACTGGTTGCGTGCGGGAGTACCGGACTGCGCTGCCAAGTTGGGGTCCGCTTGGTTGGTTGGATGGCTGGTCGCTACGGGTACGGGGTTGGCTCCGCGCGGAGCGCAGGGGAGCGTGCGTGACGCACTGGTCCTGCGCGCGTGGCTGCTCTCACGAGGTGTGCTGCAGGGTAGGGCTTAGGGTATCGGAGCTGGCCTCGTAGACAGCAGGATGGCTCTCAAGACGCAGAGCCGGGACGCCTTCTCTAGAAAGCAACCGTCTTCGCCCTGACCCCATCCCTGCGCACTGCAGAGAGAGAGAGAGAAAGAGACAGAGAGAGAGAGAGAACCCCGCGTCGTGCACCGTGGGGCGACGACGACGACGACGACGACGACGACGACGTCGACGACGACAACGTCGACGACGACGACATCGTCGACGACGACGACGCACGGCGCTGGCTGTGACGGTACGCCTCGTCCGCGAGTGAGCCGCGGCCGCGGCCGCCGGCAGGTGCTCGTCGAGCTGCTGGACTCTCCGCCGGCGGGGTGCGCTCGCCCCTGCCAGCAGGGGGAGGCCCTCGCCGCGGCCGCCGAGCAAGCCGGCGCGGGCCAGCGAGCCGGACAATGGGCATCCACCGGCTGCGCGTTAGATTTCGTCGGGCCTGTCCCTCTGCAGGAGGAGAACTCAAGAATATCCCAAAAAATAGCACGAGGATGATTTTCTAATATGTTTCATCGATTTTTGCCCAACCGTTACGGCTACGCGTAAGAGTGACCCTCCGCCGGGGTGACCTCTGGTGCGTGCCCAATGGTAGCGTCGCTGCCTTGACCTCCTTCTCCTCCTCCTCCTCCTCCTCCTCCTCCTCCTCCTCCTCCTCCTCCTCCTCAGACTACTTTAACCCCTCCTCCTCCTCCTCCTCCTCCTCCTCCTCCTCCTCCTCCTTCTCCTCCTCCTCCTCCCGGGCGGCTCTGACCAGTGGCGCCCTGGTGCCGTCGTCGATGCTCCAATGATTGGCCCTGTGCCCCGGCTCCCTCCTGCTGCTTCGGCTTGCCACGATCTCTCACCACCTTCAGCACCTCGTCCACGACGAACGGAGAAGCCTTGGAGGAGTGGCGCCCTCGGATGCCGAAGGCGGAGTCTTCACGAACTGCGCGTCTTGCAGCTGACCTCCCGCACAGCGCGGGGGCGCGACGATGACTGCCAAAGGAGCCTTCTTGGGGACGCTCGGCCTCCTCCTCCTCCTCCTCCTCCTCCTCCTCCTCCTCATCCTCTGAGGCCGAGGGCCGTCGGGTCGGCGGGCAAACACCGCGCACCCTCTGCCCAGGAGCGGACTCGTCTGCCCGCAGGAGGCAAGGCAGCAGCCTGCCAGATCGCCGAGTGCGGTGCGCTGGTGGCGTCTTGCGCGCCTGCGTCTGATCCCCCCGCGCGGCCCCCGAGAATCGGCGGCGAGCGAGGGGGGGGAATAAGAAGGAGAAGGCCTGGTCAGAAGGCGGCGGGACTTCTCGGAAGCCCTCGCGCCTTCTGAGAAGCTGTCTTGTCTTCGGAGAATACTCAGGAAACTTCTCGGATGACAGGGGGACTTCCGAACCTTCCGAGAAGGTCTTCTCCTTCTCATTCCTCCCCCTCGCCCGCCGCCGAGAGAAGCCGCGCACCAGAGGCCACTCTTGCCCAGGGTCGCTTCTGCGTGCAGTCGAGCCAGGGCGACGAATTTTCTCTCCGGTTTGGGGCCTGCGGGGGCTCGGTGCAGGCCTCTGGCAGCTAGAAGACGACCCTGGACGTGGGCCCGACGCCGGGGACGGGTTCGAAAGCCCCTGGGAGCCCACGGGTTGACAAGTTGTGGGCGCCCTGGGTCTGGGCACGGCGAGTCGTGTTGCATCCTCGCGCCGACGTGCACCCGGAAGGATCTTGGGGCGCGGAGCGATTTCCAAAACGACTGCTTGTCGTCATCTGCACTGGAGACGCCAGAGTCTGCCGCCGCGCCGTCTGCTCCGACGCGCGGCCTTGCGCCTCGGGGAGGGCGCCGCGGGCACCGCGGGCAAAATCGCCGCCTCGGGCGCGGCGGGCCTGCCGCGGGCTCTGCCGTGGTGTCGGCGGCGCCTCCCAGGGGCGCGGGGACGCGGGGCCTGCCGTGGGGTTGCCCGTGGCGCCGGCGCCGTCCACCGGGGCGCGTCGAGCACGGGCGGCGTGGCGGCACGCGAGGAGCAGCTGGCACCCTCCCGAAGGAAGGCGCCTGCGCCTGGGCCTCGCGTGCACGTGCGGAGGACGATCCATGGAGAGAGAAGGCGTTGCCAAAGGATTTCCAGGTGTTTTTTTCTTCTTTTGTATGCTTCGAGCGTGTCTTAAACATGTGAGCACATGCCTTGTAAGCATGCTTAGACCATGTTTCAACCATTTTTTAACACATTCTGGTTTCCACGATCGGATTGTTAGGGTGTCCATCGTCGTGGCACCCGCAACAGTACGCTGCCCTTGTGGTCGCACCGTGGGCCCCTGGCCGCGGCGCTCTCGACCCCCAGATCGTTGGCGCCGATGGCCCCGCCACCGGCCCCCGTGGAGACCGGCGCAGGAAGCGCCGGGACCGAGAGGCTGCTCCGCGGGAGGCTCGGGCCCTCTCGGCGGCGATGATGGGGGGGAATCGCCCAGGGGCGGGCATGACACGTTTTCGCCCGGAAGCCTTGTCGAAGACATAGATCATCGGCGCCCCTGGATAGATGTATTGCTCTCCCTCCTGGGCTTTTCGCCCCTCTCGTCGCCTCTGCCCCTCGGGATCGGCGCCCGGGCCTGTCATAGGGGCACCTTCTGGCCAGGGCTTCGAGTACAGGCTCAAGTCGGGCATGTACACCTGCAGGGGGACTCTCCAAAATATTCAAGAACTGGTCTGGGGACGAGTTCTCTAAATATTTGTTTGTTATTGTTGAGTATTGGTAGACTAGTTTTGATTTGTCTTCCAAAATACGCGTGTAGGAGGACATGCCCGACCTAAGTCTAGGCCTCCCAGATGGGGTCGGAGTCGATGGGGTCGGAGGGTCGCGCCGCATCGCCGACGCACCGGTGATGCGGCTCGATGTGGAGCCCGATTTGCTTCACGTCGACGCTGCCGATGCATCGCCGACGTCGACTGTGCATCGCCGGTGCAACGCTGATGCATCGCCGATGCATCGCCGATGCATCGCCAATATTTCGCCGATGTATCGGCGATGCGGCGCGATCCTCCGACCCCATCTATTCTGACCCCATCTAGGAGGCCTCAGTCGAGGCGGATCCAGCCATGGAGGCGAGGAAAGTCCCTGAGGCCAAGAAGGATGGAAGCACGTTCAAAGGCTGTCGTCGAGCTTGGACCCTGGGGGGCGAGGTAGAGCGAAGCGATGACGTGGACAAAGGTGGAGCTCCCTCGTATGCGGCACGGTCCGTGCGAGGGGTGTGCTGAGATGGGGAGGGCGACGCCCTGCGAACCTTCTTGGTGGGGCCAGACGTAGAGCTCCACATCACTCTCGCTGGGGAGCACTCTGCCCACCGGGCATGTCTACCAGACCCGCAGTCAGCACCCACCATCCTCCTGAATAACAGATACGGATCGATCCAGCAGCCCCCTCTTCCCCCGGCCAAAGCTGGAGGCTCGTGACTAGGCCGCTGCCGCACAAGGGGCGCAGTTGTGGGGCGATGCCCCCCATGACCAGGCAGCCCCACGAAGCCCCGTGAGAAAGCAATGGCCGCTCTCGTCAACTTTCTCCTCGGGAGTGTGGTAGAGGCTGCGCGGAGCTGCGGAGAAGAGAAATGAGCGTCGCGGAAAAGGGGGCCGTCTCCACCGACATTCGCGCGAAAGCTCCCCGCGTCAGGTGGCACTGCAGCGCCCTCGATTCCAGCCGAGCGTGCCGCGCTGGCGGCCCGCGTAAGCCACAGCGTAAGGTCGCTATGCCATCTCGCCTGAGACCCGCCTCTTGTCGTCGCTCCAATGCAGCTCCCCGTGGGGCACGGCCAGTGTGCCGCAGTCGGCGGAGGCGGGCCGCAGCGGCCGCAGCGAGGGCCTCCCGGGCGGCCCCGCGAGTGGCGCTGGCGGCGGGGCGCGCCGCCGCACGAGCCGGAGTTGCCCCCCGCGCGGCCGACGAGGCCTTTCCGCCGCGGCCCGCCCTTCCGGCGGGGGGCGTTTGTGAAGGGATGTGCCCCCCCCCCCCCAAGGAGGCCGCAGACCCTGGAGGAGGAAAAGGTACCGATGCCGCTGCCCTTCCCGCGGCTTCGATGTTTCGACCCTTCCTGGAAATCCTCGTCGCCATCGCTGGATTCCTTTCGACAGTCTGGTCAGAACCCAGTCTGGGAGAGGCCGGAGGATTAGCGATTAGCGGCATCGGCGTCGGTGTCTTGTGGTTTTTCAGTGGGGGCGTCGGTTAAGGAATGTGCCCAGGAGGTTATGCACCCAGGAGGATTCCGTATCTGATGAGCGCGGCGGTGGTACCCATGATGGAGCCTCAGTTGGTGCTTTGCTGGGTTTCAGGATTTGGGTTCTATGGCGAGGGCTTCGCGCACGAGGATTGAGACGATGACGCCAAGCACGTGACCACCGACTTGCCCCGATGGGCTCAGACGCTCTCACGTGCGGATGTAGAAGGCAAGGACGGCAAGGGTAAAAAGTGGAAAGGGTAGGACAGGTAAGCCGTGCAAAGGATACGGCACACCCACCACGAGCATACCGTGCAAGTACTTCGGGGAGAAGGGCCGCAAGCGGATGGAGTGCAGGAAAGCTATGCAAGACATGGAGGACGGCAACATCACGAAGGAAGACTTGCGCAATATGAGCAAAGTGAAACGCACATGCAAAGATCACGGAGACAAGTCGTGATCGGACCAGTCGGTTGGGAAGCAAGCAATGGGGCATAGGGTGATTGGGCCACGACTACTACTCCCAGGAAGGCTACATCCTTATGGCTGCCAAGGGCGCCTGCGCGGACGAGGAGAAGGACCTCGAGGAGGAGCCCCACAACGACAAGGACATGAATGACCAAAGCTACCTGATTCCAGTCGACGAGCAGGGCTCGCGGACGGGTGACGGGAAGATCGAGGCGCTGGTTTTGTTCATGCGCGGCGAAAAGCTAATGCCAACTGGGTTTTGCACACCAGCGATACCACGACAAGACGGAGATGCGCCACCTTCGCGACAGGCTGATTGTGCCACACTCTACGCCGACGGGTGCAAGACGGTGCACATGCAGGTTGCGGGCATTGGTCGGCCGTTACAGGGTCACTTTGATGTTCGAGACGTTCACAAGACAATCTTTGTGATGAGTGGCATGGCGAAGGGCTCGCAGGAAGTATGGTTTTACGAGCAAAGCGGAGCCGTAGTGAGCAAGGAGTTGAGCGAGAAGCTCAAGCGGGCGGTTGATTCCAAGCGGGGGACGGAGCCGCTCAGGTTGACCAAGAGGCGCGGGGTCTACAGTTCCGACGTGGACGCGAACGCGCTGCGCCCACTGGATGGAGAAGAAGTACATGAACCACCTCAGGCGGAAGACTGCGATGAGGCCCAGTGACCAGAGACACAGATGGATAGATACAGGCAGACCGCTGATTATATTGTCATACGCGAGCGCGCGCAAATGCCGCGCGGCGTTTTGTAGACACGGTGCTTGTGGGGGTTCGGCAAGGAGGAGGTTCATAAGCACTGAATCCAGCTGCGGTGCCAACGCTGCCAGTCATCAATGGCGACGGCCCTGGCAATGGCTCGGAACCCGAAGGCCCTGTTGCATCGTCCATGTTCGCGCGCAAGGGGCCGATCGAGTGCGTCGACTCAGCGGTCGACGTCCACGCGGGCGCGCGGGGCTCAGCCGACGTCGCGCTCAAAGGTGGCCAGGGGGCATCGGCGGCGACCGCGGCGCTCAAGAACAGGGGGGGTGGGGGGGGGGCGCGTCGCGCAGGTGGCGAAGTCACCGAAAGGTTCTCGCCGGAGTAACTGTGCGATCGAGAATGCCTTGGAGCGCGTGGGGTCTTTACTGCGGACACCGCGCAGCGAGCTGGAGTTCCACGCAAGGGCGAAGATCGGCCCTAAGGGTTTGAGAATGCCCTGACTTGTTCGACGCGCGGGGTTCTTGCCCGCGAGGTGCGCGATCAAGACGGGCAGCAGGGCGGCGTCGGAACGACTGCGTCGAGCAGCTTGCAAATCGGATTTGGGAAAGATCGCGGAGGCGATCGAGTGCAAGACCCACGCGAAGGGCCACTCGAAGTGGGGGCCGAGATGGGCCGGGGGATTTCCCGCGGCAGGCGCGACGAGAGCGACGAGATCATCGCAGGCGCTGCCCGCTGATCGAGCGCGCCAGGACGACGAAGCTAGGCGCCGAGGATAAGTGCGACAATGAGGCATGCAACGCGTTCGCCGGTGCATCGCGGAGTCCGGGGGGCCCGGGGGCAAGGGCCACAGCGAGGTGGCGCGGCGGAGGAGGCGCATCGCGAAGTCGTTGATCGATGGGCGCGAGAATAATTGCCCAATTCGCAGCGCGAGGAGCTGGGGGAGTTGCGCCGAGACCTCTGACGAGGCCGAGCCGAGGATAGAGGCGGCGACCCCAGCCAACCCAGATCAGGCCGCAGGAGGAGCTCCAAAGGGAACCACCAGCAAGAGCAGCCTCACCTGAAGAAGTTCGGACACGAGAAGCGAGGTTAGCATGTGCAGGGCCACGAGAACTTGGAACGCCGTCGGGGCCTCTCTTTGGCCGTGTCCCGACGTGGAGATGAGCGGCGCGGCGATCCTGGCCAGGGTAGACGCTGCGCCCGTCGCGCCAGGATTGGATGGTCAGAACATGCGATCACTGGAGAGATGACAGCAACGTCTGCGGGGAAACTGGGCCGAGAGAGAATCGCGAGAGGTTGGCGGAGGGCGGGGCATGCATGGGCGCTCGCGCAGGCGAGGGGCTACTGGAGGACACGGTCACCGAGGGGAGGGCCAAGGAGATGGGGGACATGGGGGATTTCGAAATGCTCGAGTGGGTTAAGTTGGTAGGAAGGACGCAGCCGTTTGACGCGAAGTGGATCGATGTCAAGCGGGCCGCGAGAAGCCGACGCGTCCGCGCGAGATCTAGCGACTGGACCGGCCCGCCAATTTCGGGCGCACCAGCGCCGCGGGCGGCGAGGATGGTTATCTCGAGGGCAGCGTCGTGGAGTCGAAAGGAGAGTAGGAGGAAGATGCTCGGGCTCTACGACGCATCGTTCACGCCTCGCCGAAGGAGCAGCAATATTGCTGGCCGCCGCCTGGGCAGCGACGACCCGGGATGCTTCGGGAGCATTGGATGGCAACGCACGGAGCGCCAGAGGCGCCGATGCCATCCCAAGGCGCGCGGCGATGTGAGTGACAACTCCATGGGAATGCCGCGCAGCGAACTAGATCTCCACGCGAGGGCGAAGATCGGTCCTAAGAGTTTGAGAATGCCCTGACTTGTTCGACGCGCGGGCTCTCGCTCGCGAGGTTTGCGATCAAGACGGACGGCAGGGCGGCGTCGGAACGACTGCGTCTAGCAATGTGCAAATCGGATTTGGGCAAGACCGCAGAGGCGATCGAGCGCAAGACCCACGCGAAGGGCCACTCGAAGTTGGAGCCGAGATGGGCTGGGGGATTCCCCGCGGCAGGCGCGACGAGAGCGACGAGGTCATCGCAGGCGCTGCCCGCTGATCGAGCGCGCCAGGACGACGAGGCTGAGGGGCGCCGAGGATAAGTGCGACAATGAGGCATGCAACGCGTTCGCCGGTGCGTCGCGGAGTCCGAGAAGTCCGGGTGCAAGGGCGACGACGCGGTGGCGCGACGGAGGAAGCGCATCGCGAAGTCGTTGATCGACGATCGCAAAAATAATGCGCACTTCGCAGCGCGAGGTTCAGGGCGAGTTTCGCCGAGACCTCTGGCGAGGCCGAGCCGAGGATAGAGGCGGCGACCCCAGCCAACCCAGATCAGGCCGCAGGAGGAGCTCGAAGGGGAACCACCAGCAAGAGCAGCCTCACCTGAAGAAGCTCGGACACGAGAAGCGAGGTTAGCAGGTGCAGGGCCACGGGAACTTGGAACACCGTCGGGGCCTCTCTTTGGCCGTGACCCGACGTGGAGATGAGCGGCGCGGCGATCGTTGTCGGGGTAGACGCTGCGCCCGTCGCGCCAGGATTGGATGGCCAGAACATGCGATCACTGGGGGGATGACAGAAACGTCTGCGGGGAAACCGGGCCGATATAGAATTGCGACAGGCTGGTGGAGGACGGGGCATGCATGGGCGCGCGCGCAGGCGAGGAGTTACCGGAGGACACGGTCACCGAGGGGAGGGCCAAGGAGATGGGGGACATGGGGGATTTCGAAATGCTCGAGTGGGTTAAGTTGGTAGAAAGGACGCAGCCGTTTGACGCGAAGTGGATCGATGTCAAGCGGGCCGCGAGAAGCCGACGCGTCCGCGCGAGATCTAGCGACTGGACCGGCCCGCCAATTTCGGGCGCACCAGCGCCGCGGGCGGCGAGGATGGTTATCTCGAGGGCAGCGTCGTGGAGTCGAAAGGGGAGTGGGCGGAAGATGCTCGGGCTCTACGACATATCGTTCACGCCTCGCCGAAGGAGCAGCAATATTGCTGGCCGCCGCCTGGGCAGCGACGACCCCGGATGCTTCGGGAGCTTTAGAAGGCGACGCACGGGGCGCCAGAGGCGCCGATGCCATTCCAAGGCGCGCGGCGAGGTGAGAGACAACTCCATCGGAGCTGGCGCAGTGCAACCCTCGGATCGATCCTCTGCGCACTGGTCATGGGGGTGACTTCGTCGTGGAAACCTACAATGAGCTGGGTACGTTCTATTGGATCATGGCCGAGCGATTCAAGGCGAAGCGGTGAAGCCTCAACCGCGAGATGGCCCTGGAGGAGCAGTTCAAGGAACGCTTCTCAACGGGGCGGTGTTGCCGGGCGAGGACGGCGCCCGCGTCTTGCCGGGCCCGGACTTGATCCGGGAGATGACGGAGCCCCGTGGGTCGAAGCAGGCCAAGCCGACAAGTGCGCCGAATCCAAAGCTCGCGGCGAAAGGAGCTTGTGAGGCAGAGGGCCCAGCACCGAGGCAGAGTTCTATGAAATGCAAGAGCGACGGTGGGATTGGCCAGCACTTGGCAAGCGGCCGCCGCGGCATTCGAGTTGCCATTCGAGAACAGACTCGCTCGTGAAACGACCCGGGGGCGAAGCGCATCCTGCAGCAGAAGCGCTTGGTGAGGTGCCTGAAGGGCACGGCCGACATCGCGATCCTCTACCCTTTGCAGTAGATGGCTTTCAAGGTGAAGACGTCGGCAGGCGCAGACTGGTCCGGGCAGGAGGCGACCTGCAGAAATATTTCGTCTGATTGCATCAATTCGGGCACTCATCTGCTATTTGGGCTTTCTCTCATGCGACGGTGGCGTCGTCAAGCGGGGAGTCAGAGTTTCGTGCCGCGGGGCCAGGTGCGGCAGGAGGTCTCGCCATCAAGCACACGCTGCGGGACATGGCAGAGACAAGAAAGGGGCATGCCGATATCACGCTAGAGTTGAAGACGGATTCTGCAGCAGCTGGGGCCATGATGCACAGGCGGCCTGGCGCAGGGTTGGACGGGCGCGGCATCTACAGACGCGGTGGATCAGGCATCGAGTTTTGGTCCGCGACGGGGAGACGGAATTTGCAGAGGTGAACGCCAAGGGCCAAGTGGCGGACATAAGCACCAAGCCGATGGACAAGGACGCCGGGCACAGGGACTCATTCAGCTTAGGCTGACGACGCGCAGAGAGTCCGGGGTCCTGTCCAAGGTGCTGGCGGCGATGCTCAGGACCGCGCAGGCGGTCGCGGAGAAGTATTACTGCGAGGACGAGGTGAACATCCACGTCGACATGAAGAACGAGTTATGTTGGTGGAGTGTGCTGTCCGACGTAGTGGTTATGGTGCTGGCAATTTGCTCCAGCTAATATGTGTTATGTGGTGCTGTGCGCGGAGACAAAGAATTTTATATATATATATATATATATATATAGAGAGAGAGAGAGAGAGAGAGAGAGAGAGAGAGAGAGAGAGACGTGGGCTACTCCGTTTCACATTGCACCCGGGGTTGTTCGAGATGGTGATGAGCAGGTAGAGGCGCTCCCGTCGAAATTGTCAAAGCGAGATGCCTCGCCAGAGCCAGAGGTGCAGGCAAATAATCTCAGGTCGGTTGGAGTGCAAGGTCCAGTACGCACGAGAGCAGGAGCAAGGTTCACCATGTGGCCGACGGGAGGCGCACCGCGGTCGGTACCAGGGACGGGAGGGCTTGGTTGACATGACGATGCGCAGACTTTCAACGGCAAGTCCTAGAAGCCCGAGAGATGTGGAGCGAGGCTTGACCGTTGGGAAGATATTGCGGGGCTTGGTCAACTTCAGAGGCACTGGCGCGCGATAGTGCCAGAGGGAGAGAACGTTCATATACCGAGATTTCCTATGCCGGAGCTGCATCAGTTTCACTTGCCAGAGGACCCGAGCTTGAGGGGGCTCAGCGGAGTGACTGTGTAACTCAACTGGTGGGTTGACGAGCCTGCTAGCACGCATAGCAGCCTCGCGGAGGCCGCAGGTTTTCACAACGACGTAGCTCACATTCAAAACGATTGATGTCTGGCTAAAGGAAAAGGGACCCAGGGTTTAACGCCATTCCGCAGACGGGATGGTTTCTCCATGTTGGGCCTCTGGGGGCCCTTGAAAAAAACGACTGAGGATGAAAAACCGGTCCCGGGGAATGGGTCGAAACCTTTGGAGGCCGACGTTGTGAGAAAGTTGTGACGTCAGCGGGGGACGCAGCTCGGAAAGTTTGTGCATTGGGACCCTGCGACCTTGGGAGGGACCCGGGGACCGATCCCGAGCTGCCATTGTCTCAACTCGCCCTGCTCCGGCTGGCTGCTGCTGTTCTGGCCGCCCCGCGGAAAGAATGCTCAAACCCGTACGCGACGACATGGCCGGCCAGCCCCGCCCTCCGACAGGCCTCTTGGCGCGGTGTTCTGGGTGGAGGACGACGAGGTTACGCCACGGAGGCCCCCCAGGCGGGCTTGCGTTGCACGGGGGGGGGGGCCGAAGACGAAGTGATGGGGGGCGACGGAAGGATTTTGGGACACACTATATATATATATATATATATATATATAAGCACACTATACATGTACACATGTATATAGAATTGATGGAGGGCGGAAGGAGGGGGCAGGAACAAAAAGGAGGCGAGGGAGGATGTGGGGGGGGAAGAGCGGGGCAGACACGAAGGGGTGAGACAGGAGGGCGAAGGAGCAGGAGGGCAGAGGAGGAGGAGGAGGAGAAGGATGCGAGGGGATGAGAAGGAGAAGCAGGAAGAGGAGGGTGGAGGAACCTTCGGATGAGGACGAGGTGGAGGAGAAGGAGGGAGAGCGCGAGGCTGAAGTCAAGCCAGCCAGCTCGAACGAGCCAAAGGGCCCCGCCCACGCCCACCCTCCCTTCCCCAGACAGAAGAACCCATGCTGGCAAACCTGGACGTTGAAACTCGCTCGCGCTCCCACCCCTAGCGAACTGAAGGCGCTCGCGCGCGCTCTGGGCCCCGCTCCCGACGACTCGGCGACCGGAAGCCATGGGCCGCACACAGCAGCAGCGCAGCCCTCGGGGAGGCTTCGCGTGACGCCTCGGCGGGAGTGCCATTCAGCCGACTGGAGCGCGGCCAAGTTGCTGATAGGACCGGCCAAGGCAAAGCATGCGCTGCGCCAAGGCGGGATCAGGGGCAACGATAGGGGGGGACAGGCATAGAGGGGGGTCCATGGACCCCCAATCGCCGATTCTTCGCCGATAGGGGCCCGATAGCCCCAAACCGCCAACGAAGGTGCGGAGTCACCATCGGGGGCCCATCGCCGATCTATCGACGATGTATCGCCGATTCCAGGTCGATGCATCCCCCCCTATGCCCATCCCCCCCCTATCGTTGCCCCTCACGGGAGCGCCGCTTTCCGGCGAGATCTGCAGGCCGCTTGGGCTAGAGCGGCATTGCGCGCGCTCGCGCGCGGCCCCGCCTCCGCTTCCGACCACTCTCGCCGAACGAAAGATCACGTGCGCGCCCAAGCGGGGACGCCACGTTCCAGCGACGTTTGCGCAGCGCTCTGGCGAAAAACGCGCTCGCACTCGCGCTCGCGCGGCCACGCTTCCGCTTCCGACCCTGTTTGGGCGAGAGCGACATCCTGCCCGCACGTGCGATCCCGCTGCAGACTAGCTCGAAGCGAAAAAACGATGCGCATCCTTAGCGGGAACGCCACTTTCAGGCGAAAGTTGCGCGGCTCGTTGTAGGGCGGCAGCGAATTTTCGCCCCTTCGCACGCGACCCCACTGCCGACGCACTGGCGAACGACAAGGGTGCGTCGCGCTCAAGCGTGGGCGCAATTTCCGTGAAGAATGCGCGTGCCGTGGAGGCGGGAATAGCACTTCGCTCTTTCGCAGGCGGTTTGCGCCGCGCCCCCTTCCTGCCACGGATACTGGGACGTCGGCGACAGAGCATCCACGCGGAGAGCTGAGAAGAACAACAGCCGCCATGTATAGTCCGCAGATTCATGTCATGTGCGGCTCTGGTCCCGCGGACAAGCTGGAGGGCCAAGCGGCTCGGCAAGTGGCGACGCGCACGCCTGGGAAACTTCATGCACAAAAATCGTGTTCCCGTGAAGCCGGCCGCAATCGCACGCTACACCGATGCAGGGCTGGCGTCATCCAGCATCTCCGGCGTGCAATGGCGCGCCTGCGCCCAAAGCCTTCCCTGGACCTTGCTACAACCAACAGATGACAGCGCTGATTGCGCAGCACGCGCTTCCGACGCGGCGCAGCCGGATCAGTCGAGGCGCGGTCAACGAACGAAGACATTCGACCCGCCCGCGGTTGGCACGAATATGTTGCAAAGTGGCGCGTGGGCAACAACGTCGATTTTGATTTGTGTCAGCCACGTCCATTGCGCGGCTCCCTGAGGCCCTCACTCTCCTCCTCTCTTCCTCCTTCTCCTGGTGAGTCGGGAGGGGAAGGAGGAGGACCAGCAGCAGCAGCAGCAGCAGCAGAGGAGCGGGAGGCTGAGGAGGGTGTAGCAGCAGGAGCGTCCGGCGCTCGCCAGGTGGCCGGCCCCTCTCGCCGGAGGCATCCTCGCAGTCATGGCTCTGGTATGCCCCGGCCCGACGTAACCCAGCCCGTCTCGCCTGAGACTTCCTCGCATCTCCAGGCCCAGATATCGGCGGCAGCCCAACAGACTCATACTATATGTGCGTCGCCCCCCCCCCAAGGGCGCCGCGCGCACCGAGAACTCTTACAGTAGATGTGTCGTGGCGGGCGCCTTCTGGCCACACCGCTCTGGAAACGATCGACTACAATATCGGTATACTACATGTTCGGGTCAGACGCGTGCCTCCGAGGAGGACATATGGTATTAGTATGTCCCTTTGCGTCCCTTGTCGTTTAAAATCCGCCTGTAGGGGGACATGCCCGACCTAAGGCTGTCAAGAATTCGAAGTGTGGATTCGGCGCGCGCAGACTGATTTCCCCCCGTCGATCTGTGGATTCGGCGCGAGTGCAACGGATGCCCACCACCGATCTGTGGATTCTGCGTGCGTGCACCCGACGACCCAAGGACCATCTGCGGACGACATGCATTCTGCAGATTGTCCTGTAGACGCACCCCTTGTCCGCAGATTCTGTGCGCACAGGCCCAGGCAATCTGTCCGCACTTGACAATACAATCTGTGGACCAGGGACACCTGTCCACACTTGACAGTACAATCTTCGGACGGCCGCCAAAACCATGCTGCTCGATCTGGACAGTACAATGTGCGGATTTGGCCACTGTGCACGACCGCTGCTCGACAACCCGATGGTACCCCGACGTCGGTGCCTAGTCCGGGGTTTGGGGCCCGGGTGGGGAACCCAGTGCCCGCACATGACAGAACAGTCTGTGGATTGCCTCGGTAACGAACGGCAAAGCACTGCACCGCACGGAACTGGGAACACGAGGGAAGATGAGGGAGGGCGAGAGGACTCTCATAAGGTTGCAAGAACTCCCCGAGAACTTCGAATCGATGGGGGGAAATGCGGCCGCATTTCCCCACCTCTTTTGGACCTCCTGGGACCCTCTCGGGGCCCTCCTGGGTCCCTCCAGGGGCCGTCTTGGAGTCCAGCCGACAGCCGACGAGCGCGAGGGCGCGGATGAGCAGCATGCGCGACGTTGGACTGGCGTAAACATCCTTCTCGTTGCCATCTTCCATCCTCGTGGTTGTGTCAATACAGCCCAAGAGGGCCTCAAGACGGCCCCGGACGTTTTTCAGACGCCGTCCTTCCCTCCTTCCCCCATCATCCCTCATTATTGCCCATCCCCTGGGGTCTTTTGAACTGAAGGATCCCGCCCCGCAGTCGGAGGAACCATGGTGCCATTCAGGGTGTCGCAGATATTGTATGTGACGGCCGATGCTGGCGTCCGTACGTGAAGCAATGTTTGAGTGCACAGTGCACACACCCCGGCACTGACATTGATATTGCGTCAATGCTATGATGTGCAATGCTATGCAATACCAATGCTATGCGATACCCGATTGTCCCACCGGGGCCAAAGAACTACATTCTTGATGATGCAACCGAAACATAGCTGCTGTGTTCTCTGTTGCCGCAGACTACATGTTCAGGGCTGCAATCCGCAGATTGGCAGAATCTGCAGCAGTGGTGTCGGCCGCTGTGCAATTGCCTTAGATGCAGGTCCCAACAAGAACCCCATTCTCGATCGCCTGAAGGACCCCCCAGCTCCCCATCATGATTGCAATGTCGGATCGGATCCTAAGCATAGCTCTGCCCTCGCTATGCACCTCGCGACAGCGCCAATTGCCCCTCCTCACCGAGTGCACGGGCCGACCCGCGACGGGCCGCTCCTCACAGGCGCCCTGCCTTCACGCAATGCCCCTTCCAGTTATCACCCTTGGTCGACCACCATCGCTCCCAGCCGCTCGAGCAAGCGCGGAATGTCCCTCTCGAGGCCCACTTTGGCCATGACGGCCACTGGATAAATGACCAGCACGCAAGATGCCTCTGCCTACAGGCTCCACGGAAGCGTGGGCAGCAAGATGAAGTGTGACCTTGTTCTTGTCGAAGCGTTGGTTAGTTTCGCGTGGTAGATGATGCTTTTTCAGCTGCCCCGTGTCTGTCACATTCTGGCGGTGCGCGATGATGAAAATGATGATATTGTTGTTGATGATGATGATGCTGTTGGTGATGATGATGATGCTTGTGATGATGGTGATGTCGGTGATGATGATGTTGATGAATCTGATGATGCTGATGAAGATGATGCAGATGATGACTATTATGATGATGATGATGACTATGGTGATGGTGATGGTGATCATGATGGTGATGGTGGTGGTAACGGTGATGGTGATGATGGTGATGGTGATCATGACGATGGTGATCGTGCTGATGATGATGCTGCTGCTGATGATGATGATACGGTGATGGTGATGTTGATGATGATGGTGACCATGCAGATCATCATGATGATTGTTACGTTGATGATGTTGATGGTGACGGTGGTGATGACGATGGTGGTGATAATGGTGATGGTGATGGTCGTGATGGTGATGCTTGTGGTGATGATGGTGATGATGGTGATGATGGTGATGATGGTGACGATGGTAACGGTGGTAATAATGATGATGATGATGATGATGATGATGATGATGATGATGATGCTGATGATAATGATGATGATGATGCTCATGATGATGGTGATGGTGATTGAGCTGAAGTTGATGGTGATGGTGATGGTGATGACGATGATGGTGATGGTGATGGTGTTGAGATGTCGATGGTGATGTTGTTAATGATGCTGATGATGATGATGATGATGATGATGATGACGAGAAGGAGCAGGAGGAGGAGGACGAGATGGAAGAGGAGGAGGAGGAAGAGCATGAAATTGCGGATTAGGAGGACAGTGACAACGGAGACCGACCAAGACAAAGCGGTCCACGCGGTTGCACGGCCCAGACCTCTCATGTCTTTATTTTTTCCACTAC